AAAAGGACCTCCATGCTGAAATATAGGGTGGAAAGTAAAAATAAAAGAGTACAAAAGTAAAAGAAAAGGTCAAAAGTTTCGTTCATCTATGATCTATAATAAAAGGGAGGATGGAGGTGCATTCTTTCGTACGTCAACCAAGTAATCCAATGGTCCATATCATCTAATTCCCTTTTTCCTTTAAATGCAATAGTCAAGATTATACACTTGGGCTCTTGTATTCTCTCACACCTCATACTATAATCTTGTTTCCTACTTTAATTTTTTTTTTTTTTTTTTTTTTTTTTTTTTTGTAAATATACTTCAATCTCATTAGTTTATTAGAGAGACTTGCTTTAAACGTGTGCATGGCATCCACTTTTTAATATAATCTCAAACATTGTTTAAAATAATTATCTTCAATATTGCCTATCTAATTAGTTACTTGGCATATATTTTGTCAACATTTGCTTGGCCTTGGCATATTTATAAGTTACTTTGCTGCGAAAGGTTGATTTTTAAATTAAATCATTTTATTGCAAAGATGATTTTTAAATTAAATGATATTTATAAGTTACTTTGCTGCTTGGCCTTTTTTTTTGTCATTTGCTTTTATTTTTCCCCCCCTTTTGTCTTTATTTTCTCTTTCTCTTTTTTTTTTTCCCAACAATATGTACAACCATAGTTCTAAAAAAAAATGTCACTCCTGTCTTTTGCTTTTGTTTTTTTTTTTCCCCATTTTTGTCTTTATTTCTTCTTTCTCTTTTTTTCTAACTATAACAATTGTTTTAAAAAAAATATCACACCACAGAGCGTGCATTTTAACTTGTATATAACTACATAATTCAGTTTTATCAATATACTTTCATGTAGCGTAATTTTTAATTTCTCCTATAAATTGACCGCCACTCAAGTCGTCCTTGAAAAAAAAGAAGCGATAAATAGGTAGTGCATGAAAGAAGAAAACTGAAAATCCAGAGCAATACCAGCTTTCAACCCTTATAAGTTGTCATAAAGTCTCGTCTTAATTAGTTTATGCCTTCTAGAGCCCTCTTAAATTGGAGGTTTCAGAAGCAAATCAAACAATGGAGGGCAATGTAGAAGAAAACGCCGTGTTGAATAACTGTCCGCCTGGCTACAGATTTTTTCCCACCGACGAAGAACTTATTTTGTATTTCTTGATACCAAAGACCAACCAACCAAATTTTGGAACCAATTATGATGGCGGACATTCCTTTGTCCGAGTACACTCCTGAGGAAATAGCAGGTCATCAGAAACCACTTTCTTGGCTTTTCTTTTATTTTTTTTAATTTGTTATTATTTTCTTCTTTAGTTGTGAAGTTAATTAAAGATTACTTTCCAAAATAATTACAATCATGTTTTGCGTTTTACGTACCTCAATTATATATACGTCGTTGTGATTATCATGAAATCTGCTTGTAAATCGTACTCGTAAGCAAAACTTTACAAAATGTATAAGAAGGAAGCACTTATACGTATAAATTAAATATACCCCTAAACTATATACTTTATCATTATCATATGTTTGTGTATGATTGTAATTCGTACGTAGCCTTCGGTTCTCTCTCTCGTCGTTTTTTTCTTTTATCATTTTTTTGGATTTTCGAAGACAGAGTTTCTTTTTCTTTTTTTTTTTTTTCCTTATCATTTTTTGGTTTTTTGAAGACAAAGGTTTATGATCTTTCTTTATGAAATCCATGGAAAATATTATATATTTACTTTTCAAGAAAGCAATTTGTGTGGTCGGGTTAATAAAAATGTCGTTCTTTTGCAATCAAGAATATATCAGGTTTTTCTTTTTTAGAAAACGATGGAACGTTTTGACGTTATGGTAAAATAAACACAAAAAACATTACAAGTTTTGCTTACTTCATATGTTAATCTGAGATTCTGAATGTTGTACAGTGAAATACCAGCCCCAAGTATGATACGAACTATGCCAACAACGTGACAAAACCCGAGACCAAATATGCAATACGATTCAAGATCTATCAAGGTTGATGGAAACCGCGACCTGTTGCTTAGCAAAGCAATAACCTTGGTATGGTGAAGACACCACAAATGAGTATGAAAAATCCGTTTGATAAGTCAAGTTGAACGCCATAAGGAAAACAAGTTCGGAAAAGTTTCTTCAAGAACTCAAGAAGAATATCTCATAATATGAATAAACATAAAAAACTTTCTTTATTATCGAAATTCAGCCTTAAATAGCCGAAATTCACATGAAGAGTTTAAAAATCGTAAAAGTCATATTATATCCTTAATGAGATAAAAGCCTAAAATAAGATAAACCTAAAAACAAGATAAAACACACCTAAAAGCTAATCTCTTAGGAAGGAATCTGAATTTAACTCCAACTCCTTCCTTCTAAACGCCTATGATGGAATTTAAATGTTTAAATTGAAACTTAAACCTAAAAAGATAGAATTATGATAAAAGTAAGTCTTTATCCGTAATTTGACTTGATCCCTTGCTGAAAAACACGCCTAATCCTTTTTAGACTACTCCTTGCACGTGTAACCTGGAATGTCATGCAAGTTGGTCATGTAATGACTCAATGGACGTGTAAGACTAATGGGCTCTCTTCCGGAATGACTCAACGGACGTGTAAGACTAGTTGGCTCTCTTCCGGATCGACTTTGACGAGTATTTCTTGCATCCCCGATGTCCTCATCAAAGTAGAGGGAACATGGTACTTTTTTACACAAAAAGTTTGAAAGTTTAACAAGGGACAGCGTCGGAACCGAGTTGCTAAAAATGGGTATTGGAGATTGGTAAACACAACAGATGTATACTCAAATAATAATGGCAACAAAATTGGATCCAAGATTTTATTGGCTTTCCATAGAGTAATCCCAAGTGTAAAGGATAAAAAGACTGACTGGATTATGCATGAATTCTTACTCCCTAATTCGGATCAAAAGAAAAAAAGTGTTAGTGTTGGAGAAGAAGACATGATCAAGGTATGAGACTTTTGCGATATCGATCTCCTTTGTTCTCTTTAAGGACTTTATTTATATTTATGACTCGGACATATTATCATTCCATAACAATTAAATTTTGTTCAGAATGGTTAAACTTATTTTTAGTCACGGATTTTTAAATCGTCTCAAAACAAACTGCTAATCCATCTAATTTATAAAGTCTTAAAAGGGAGAAAAAAAAATAAAATGACTCTTTTAATAGCAATTGTGCCCTAAAAATGTAAAATCACGTGATTAGCTCTGATAAACCGCACATATTGTCATGTGCTCTTTTTCATTAGTGTCATATATCCTTCCTTTTTCTCCTACTATATTTAAGTCTTATGAGACGTTTGGTTCATGGATTAGAATCATAAGATTAGAACCATTTTCGATTTATGTGTATTTTTGTGAGAGAAAATACTGTAACGAACCATGAATCATGATTCGAATCGGAGTATGAATCCTCCAACCAAACAACCTCTTAGTTTTCGTTGCAGCATGATGATGGCTATGTTCTTTGTCGGATGTAAATGAGGTGCTGCTCTAAAACCAACGTCAAAAAAGCTCGAAGGAGATCAAACAAAAACGCAGAGTCCCGAATTCTGCCACATAATGTGGAGACTGCACCTGCAGCCTCAGAATATCATGCACATGATATTGATGATCAGAACGCAATGCTTCTCTCGATGACGCCCGACCACATTGATCATGAAGCAATAACTGTCGTGGAAAACCCGTCTTCTACGACGGTCTCCGGCGAGAATCACGAGCTCGGAGGACTTTCATCGGACACAATACCGAACGCAGTTGCTTCAGCTGCTGCTGCTGCTGCTGATGATGATGATGATGAGTTCACTGCGTTTTTGTCGCAGTACACTTACGTTTTTGGTGGTAATTACTATTATACACAGCTTATGGAGAATTTTCCTTCAACGATGATGTTTTGGTTTTGAGGGGTCTCGAGGAGGTGAATCAGCTGATGAGTAAAATCTCCAATCATACTCCTATTGCTCCCTTGGGATATACTGCTAGTGATAGTACGACATGTCGTATGTATTCTTATTTTTCTTGCATGTTCTAAATACATGTCGTCAAGAGATGTTGCATCAGTGTATAGTATATATAGTGGCAAGCAGTGACTGTAAAGTTTTTTAAATTTTTTAAATTTGGGCAGTAATTTTATATATTTAAGTTTTTCTTTCTCGACTATTAATAGAGGAGTCATGATTGTTGTTATTTATAAAACACGCACATTTATGTTCTTGATTGAAGGTGATGTAAACCCTTAATTTTAAATTATGGTTTCAGAATCATGATTTGAATATAAAATCATGAATTATGGTTTTGATTCTAGAATCATTACTAGAATCACTTTGATTTGAATCACTCTGATTTAAATCCTCATACCAAACGAATCAGAATCAAGAGTTTTGAATCACCTTGAATCAAGAGTGAGTGATTTTAGAATTATGATTTGAGCTAGTTTATGTATCAGGAGTTTTGAATCACCTTGAATCAAGAGTACACTTTTAGAATTATGATTTGAGCTAGTTTATGTTCGTTTGGTATGAGGATTCAAATCAGGGTGATTCTAAACATGATTCTGAAATCAGAACCATGATTCATGATTTTGGGTTCAAATTCCGGCCCGTTTAATTTGCTGATTCGAGTTGAGATGTGACTTTATGTTAGAGTTTTTTACTGTAACAAAAAAGTTAGATGTGACTGTTTCTGAGAGCTTTTTACTGTAGCAAAATTTGAATTCTAAACTCAAATCGGTGAAATGAACGGGAGCATCAGGGGTTTGAATCACCTTGAATCAAGATATGAGTGATTTTAAAATCATGATTTGAGTAAGTTTAAAACATCACATTAAATTTTGAATTATGATTCAGAATCATCCAAATCAAATATTAACTTTAAATTATGATTTAAAATTACTGTAAATAAATACTGATTCTCAATTAGGATTTAGAATCATGACCTATTTAGAGCCGTCAGGTTCGGGTTATAACGAGTTGTTTTGAGTGGATTAATAGAGTTGGGTGAGTTTAATTGGCACCAAGACCTGAACCTAGAAGAGTAAAACAATTGAGGGGGAGCAGGCAAAAGCACAAAATTTGATGCATCAAAAGAATCGTCTCTCTCCTCCCTCGGCCATGGACTTCCACCACCACCACCAAACCCTCGCCAGCAACTCCCCTTCCTCCTCCACCTCCTCCATCTCCGCCGCCGCCACCACCTACCCAAACGGAAACCCCATCTCCTCCGCCGCCGCTACCGCCGCCGCCGCCGCCCCCTCCTCCGACCCAATGCACTCATGGTGGGAGTCCATCTCCAAAGCCCGCTCTCGCATCCACTCTCTCTCTTCCATCTTACCCGACCCCTCCCTCTCCCTCTCTCTCTCCTCCCTCGCCGACTCCGACCGCCCGGCCCTCTCTCTCCTCTCCTCCTCTCTCGCCTACTCCGCTCTCTCCTCTGCCCTCTCCGATCCGCACTCCGGCTCCGGCTCCGACCCCCTCTGCCACTGGCTCTACGACACTTTTCTCTCCTCTGATCCCCATCTACGACTCGTCGTTTTCTCGTTCCTTCCTCTGATCTCTGGCCTCTACCTCTCTCGCATCCACTCTCTCTCCACCGATTCACCTTCTCTCCCCTCCCTCGCCGGCTTCGAGGCTGTCCTCCTCGCCATCTACGCCGCGGAGACCAAGTCACGCGCCGGCAAGCCTGTTCTCGTTTCCGTCCCTGATCTCTCCCAGCCCTCTCTCTACCACACCCCTCGTCAGAAGATCGCCGGCTCTAAGAACTCCGTCGGGGTCCTCTCCCCGCCGCTCGAGCCGCAGATCGCCGTCAAGTCGACGAAGCGGGCCTGCATCGTCGGCGTCGCGCTGGACTGCTACTACAAGCAGATCTCGCAGATGCCGGCCTGGTCGAAGCTTGATTTCTGCCGCTTTGCCGCTTCCTGGGCGGGCCAGGAATGCACCTGCGAAAAGCAGTTCGATGATGACGACGACGATGAATCGGTGGTGTCTTCTAGGGTTTCTGAGATCAGGTATTTGGAGAATGGCGACCAAACTGACGATGTGGTTGACGACATTGCTCAATTGAGGATCGAAAATGGCGGTGGTAGAAGTGGCAGTAGTAGTGGTGGTGAGAATTTGGATTCGAAAGGTTCGAGAATTCCGCTGCCGTGGGAGCTTTTGCAGCCGGTGTTGAGGATTCTAGGGCATTGTTTGCTGGCGCCGTTGAATTCTCAGGATGTGAAGGACATGGCTGCGGTCGCCGTGAGGCGTTTGTACGCCAGGGCATCTCACGATTTGGTTCCGCAGGCGATCTTGGCCACGCGGAGCCTCATTCAGCTTGAAAAGAGGTCGAGAGCGGACGTGAGGGCGGCTGCAGCAGCTGCGGCACTGGCAGCGAATCCGTCATCGAATGCCAATACTCCGAGTAAGGCTAAGAAACCCGAAATCCTTTTGGTTTCAAAGTGATTTGCTTTTGCTGGTAATAGAAAGTTGTATAGTTGTTTTCAAGTGATTGATAAAGTAGAGTTTGTGTAGGTTAATGATTGTATTTGTTGTTTTGTATTTGTAGGTCCTAGAGTTTGTAATTTATTTTCTGATTGTTTTATTTATACTTATACAGACCTCTGTTCTTGTTGTAGTGTGTAACCTAAATGCTTTGATGGTGTATGGTTCTCTCCGAATTTGTTTTTTGTACACCTCAAAAAGGGATGGAGAATTTCTGAATGAATTTGGTTTTATACTATTTTCCTTTGATTCTGTTTGGTATGGTTATGTTCTTTGTGGCTGTGAATGTTCTGTTTTAGATTTCATTTGTAATTTTAAGAACTATATAGAACTCTGTTGGCTTGATGATATTTTGTGGAGATTGTTACTGTGCATTGATTAGTTGGCTTTCTTAGTGGGATTCCAATCTACAAGTGGCTCTTGCATTGCACGATTTGCTCGTTGTTGTAACTTTTAAGAGGTTGTTGGATAATTTGGAGGGCTAATCCCTTACTTATATGAGATAAAAGTGTAGGATTTTCGAGCTCTTTGAAGCATGCACTAGGAAAAGAATCTTACTTCATAGTTTATAGCTTATTGTTTTAATCATTGATATTTAATCAAGTGATTGTTCAGCTGTTGGCTTGCTGATAATTTGTGGTGACTTTCTTGTATATTGATTAGTTGCTTCATAAGTGGGAATGATTCCTATCAAGTATTATGAACTCAAATCTACAATTGGCTTTTTCGTTTCATGAGTTACTTGTTATTTTAACTTTTAAGAGGTTGCTGGATGATTTGGAGGGTTCAAAGTATAGGAGTTTTCCAGCTCTTTGAAGCTTGAAGGATGCACTAAGAAGAGAATCATACTTTTCTAGCTTATTGTATGAATCATTAATGCTTAATCGAGTAATTAGTTCAGCTATTGGGTGTTTTATCCAAGTGTAATTCATGCTTAGAGGTTTCCCAGTTGTGAGTTTCAATTTGACTAGTTGTTGGGTTGGGTTGGGTTGGGTTGGGTTGGGTTGCATTTGTAAGGGCCTAAGCGTTGAGTCTTCTGAATTTGGACCGTGACGAGAATTTCTCACTTTTTTGATATTCTAGAGCCTTTGTTCTAAACTAATTGGTGTTTCGATAGAATCTTAGAGCCTAGCCTTTCTTTACTCTGCTCCCTCATGTACTCGAAGAACTTTAAATTGGATGAGGACTTTACTAAAATTTGTAGCAGCACTGTAATTTATCTTGAGGGGGTATGTTTGGATGAGAAGCTTGATTGATTTCATTGCTTCAGATTTTGGTTGTCATTCATACTTTCATGAATTCTAACTTGCATAGTGTTAGGGCCATGAGTTGGTTAGTTAGTATAGCTACGAGTTGTTAGAGATGTGGTTAGTGGTTTATTAGCAATCAGGGAATTTGTTAGACTAATACTAGCACTATAAATAACAGGACAGTAAGTGATGAGGGTATGTCTGATTTGTCTATGAATTTGGAATTCATTCGGGGCTTGTGAAACCAAGATTAGGGAGAGCTGGTGGTCTAGAATACCACCATTGTTAGGGTTTTCTTGTACTATTTTAAAGTTTTATCAGTCAATTCAATACAGATACAGTCATTGTTCATCTATTGTGCTACAAATTGCTAGGATCCTATCACATAGTGTAATTTTCTTCCGGTGAGAGGCAGTCAAGGAAATTGGGATGAGTGTACGCGCCATGATTGCGTTAGAGGTTTCCCAGTTGTGAGTTTCGATTTGACTAGTCATTTGGTTTTGGCTGCGTTTGGAAGGGCCTGAGCTTTTGAGTCTCCTGAACTTGCAACATGACAAGAATCTCTCTTTCTTGACATTCTGGAGCCTTTGCTTCAAGGCTCACTGTATTACAAGTTTGGTTCATTTCATTGCTTCAGATTTTGGTAATCATTATGAACTTTCATGACTGGTAACTTGCATAGTGTAATTTTCTTGTGGCTGAGAAGAAAACGCCATGGAATTGTGCTACGTTTCATGATTGAATATGAAGGCACATTTTGGTTCTTACCATAGTTGAGCTTGAAATGGAGGAATGTATTGAGTAGCGTGAATCTGGAGCTTGCAATATCATAAGCAATTTGACAGTATTTAATCACCAAGAATAACACTCTATATGGTTTGTATGAGTATGTCACCTTCTGTGTTTGTTTGTACTTGGCCAACTCTATTACCTTCGTTATATCTATGAGATTCTTCATTCTAGTTCTGCATGAGAGGCTGAAAATAAGGTTAAATCTGTGAAGTTTTGAAAGGAAATACAGGAAAACAAGAAAAACTTCGGGGGTAGATTATAGAGATATTTATGCTACCAGCCACAGCCACAGATTTTAAGGTTGGATTGACTTTTGTCCACGATACTAAAACTAATCTCAGCCGCTCTTCTCTCACCTCCTAATCCCAGCTGCTTCTCTCTCTCTTTCACTCTCTCACCTCCTTCCCTTTAACCGGCGAGACATTCTCCCACGAGCAACCGTTATGAGATCAAGAATTTCCCTAACGTGAGGACGAGCCATCATCATCACAAAGCTCCTCCATCGCAGATTTGAACCACGACGATGTCTCGTTCTTGGCGTTGAACGGTTGCACAAGGGATGGCGAGGGTGTCCTCAAGGAAAGGCAAACAGATCCGGTGAGATTGCGTCGGAGGAGAGAATGCGTTGATACCGCCACTGGTTCATCCCCATCGCCACCGCAATCACAGACAGAGAGAGAGAAATACTGTTAGATCCGCATAAGAGAGGAGAGGGAGAAAGAGTATAGTGTAAAGGATTGAAGAGACAGACATAGAGGCGATTTTGTGATTTTCATTTTATTCAATTGATTTGGTTGGATTTTGTGCTTTTTTTTTTGAATTTTTAATTCACCTCTGGTTTGGTGGTTATCGACAAATACTAGTCGGTAACCATCTGGTATCCGGACAGATACTACCTAGTATCTTGGTGGATACTGGTAATTATGGTAGATACTAATTAGGTACAAACCCATATCCCCGCCGTCACTGGTAGGCGGTTATCGCTAAATACTTGTCACTTGAAACTACGGCTGTACATGGGTTGAGTTGGTGCGGGATAAGATTTTTTTCTGCCTCGCTTTAAAGGGTGCGGGTTGCACATATTTGACTCTAACGATGTTAGAAAAATTTCACAACCTAATGATGTTTAGATTGGATTGGAGCGAGGTGGGGTGAGTTGGGTGGTCGGGTTCAACATTCAAAGAATTAAAGTTCAATCTGACATTTAAAGTTCATTATCAAATAAAAATAATAACTCCAACATTCAAAGTTCATCGTCAAATAATATTAATCATCAAATAGAAATAATATTGATTATCAAACATAACGCTAACATTCAAAGTTCATCAAATAGAAATAATACTGATCAGTCCATCATTAAATTAGCAATTGAAAGTTCAATCTAACATCAAACATGAAGCAAAGTAGTTCATCTAACATGGAGCAATGATTAGAACTTAGAGGACATGGCCCAAGCATGTTTGTGCGGATTGGGTTGGGATTTGTGGACTATTATAGGTCCAACTCACAAATCACTCTAAATACCTCGGGCCAGACATTTAATAGGCTGAAAAATAAAAAATAATGCTACAAATTGCTTTTTTCGGATTAAGTTGGGGTGGAATGAATTAAATTTGCAGGTTGTTCAGGTTTATGACAGTCCTATTTGAAACTCAACAGGTGACCTTGTGAAGGAATTACATCATCTTGGATGGTATATTGTTTGATTGAAAAGGCTTAAGATGGTTGGCTGACGTAATGCGCTATTTTTTTCACCAATTTGAGGACATTTAGGAAACTTAGCTAGTCAACTCTATAATTGCTTGCGCAGATGCTTGTGTCAAAGCTGCTCATCATTTTCAAACTACTGTCTATTTTTCTAGTGTGTGTTGTGTGTAATTTTTTAATCATGTATACCAACTGACGTGGTAACATTCCAGCACACTAATGTTTCATGGCCTAAGTGATGAATTTTTTTATGGCTCTAGTCGTACTGAAAAATCTTCATTTAGTTTGTGGATTCGTATCATGATTCGAATCATGGTTCGTAATTCGTTACAGTATTTTCTCTCACAAAAAATACACGTAAATTGAAAATAATTATAAATTATAATTCTGAATTTATGAACCAAACGTCCATATATGTCTGACTAATAACCAAGATTTGATGACTGTAGTTCAGGTTATCTTGAGATGTCTGGAGTTCTGATCTTTAGGTCTAGATTGCAGAAAATACAGAGCACAGAGAGACAAATTTAACTGTTTGTTTGTATTTGATGTGTACAGTATGATTAGACGTCATGACCTTCATTGTAGCTTAAATCACAAATAATCTCTCAAGGGCAAATGAGAATCATTTCCCTTTTCTTACTAAAACGTTCCGCGACTTGGATCCTCTAATGGTTTGTATATTGTAATTAAACAAATCCTAAACAATTGGGGCAGTAATAATTTAGGCTTAGTTAAGCCAGGATCAGTGAAGTCAAATAGGAATCACCTCAATCATATCAAAAAGGGTGCATTGCATGGATACGTAGATCAGTCGGGGTAAAGTCTCGGTTATTGAAAAAAAAAAAAAATCAAGGTGATGCAGTTTTGACAGTTTTAGTCGCCATTTTTTCACCAAATGGGCAAACAATTATACCATCTTGTGGTGTGAGGTCTTCTCAATTATTTGTTTTTGTGTCATCATAAACTAAATAAAGAAATTTGTATGGATTTTTGTCGCTATTCAAAGTTTAGTATTATGACAATTTAGTCTCTAAATATTATTTCCTTCGATTATTTGATAAATTTCATTTCTTTTTTTATTGGGTGTAATTTGTCTAAATTATCACATTTACCCCTTTTATTATGCAAATGCCCAAAACACCCCATATAATTTTTAAATTAGACTTGACATTCCCCTTGACATTCCCCTAAAGCATTAAATTTTTGAAAACACTAAAATTACCCTTCTCAATTTATATTAAATGTTGTTGTAGATATGATATAACTAAAAAATTAAATTAAAAAACTTTAAAACGTTTAAATAAATATTCCTATCAAATAAATGCTTGAATTGTTTTGAGAGTTTTTCATTCTTTGAGATTGATTTTATTTAATATTTTGGTTTAAGAAGGTTTTAAAGTTGTCTTTCCAAAAGGTTGAGAAGGGTAATCTTGGTATTCTAAACAATTTAAATTGCTTTTGGGGGTATTTTGAGTTTGATTTTTTAAACACACGGGTGTTTTGGGTATTTAAATAATAAGATTGGGAAAAGGGGTATTTAGACAAAACATAGGCTTTTCCTTTTTTATTTTTACAATTTGATCTTTTTCATAAAATTGACTATGAATGTTTGAAATTTAATCATAACTGTTATATGTCTATCATATGATAAATTAAAATTTTACTAAAACAATCACAAAAGCTGCAAGATGTTATCTTTTTTTTAAAAAAAATACATATATTTTATTAGATTAAGGGTTTGTTTGGTACGAGGATTTAAATTAGAGTGATTCTAATCCTGATTCTAGAACTAGAACCATAATTCATGATTTTAGGTTCAAATCATGATTCTGAAACAATGATTTAGAATCAGGGGTTTAAATCACCTTGAATCAATAGGGGAGTGGTTTTAAAATCGTGATTTGAGCTAGTTTAAAATATCATATCAGATTTTGAATCATCCAAATCAAACACTGATTCAGAATTATGATTCAGAATCAGTGTAAATAAACACCAATTTTGATCCAAGATTCAGAATCATGATTTTAAATCTATCTACTAAATACACCCTAAGTCAACAAGACTGGCTCAGCAGCCAGGGCCTCATTAAACCAGAATTGGTCACAAACACAAGAAAAAACGCTACGGGCCGGTGTATGGGTTGCCATGTTACCAGAACGCGAAACATGACAACAGGAACAACTGAAGCTGCCGCAGATTAGAATTCATTGTCATTGACTGCATTGACGGAATCGCTTTCAATCTCTTCCACCCGAAGACCAAGTTCCGTAGCAAAAGCCATCCCCGAGCGAATTGCTAAACACTCTGATGCTGGATCAAAGCAACCCAAAGCCTTGACTGCAAAAGCTCCAATAACTTTGCAACGAAGGTCCCCGGTTTGCACATGCCTTACGGACACCTCTGAAGTGACTTTGCAGGCCTAGAACTCGGACAACTAGCAACTACCTGCGATCAAAATCTGCTCAAACGACAGGGACTTTCCTTCAAAAACCCAAGCGTTTCGGTTACAGCAAACCAGCTACAAGATCATACAAAAAGGTTCAAACTGTACCATTGGAGCAAAATTTCATCCAACATTTTACCAACGTCCTTAGAAATTTAGATTAAATAAACGAATAATTTAAGAGAATTGGATGAACACTGCAAGAACACAATTAACCTCTAAAAAAGTAACAAGAACAAATGAAGACAATCACAAGATAATAGTATTTAGAAATGAGTGCGTATATTTTTCTCTTAAATTGAGGGAATTTATAGTACATTAGGTTTGGAAGAGTTTAATTCTTCCATTAATTTGAGAGTTTATTCTCTCTTTAATTATAAAAAGGCTCTTCACCTTTCGGGTGTTAAAACTGATAAAATAATGAATATGAATTAATTTTCAATCATTTAAATTTTTCGGCTGGCGTCGGTTACTTCACTTGATGACTCTATGCAGCCTTTGAACTTTCAGCTCGGGAGAAATTTCAGACGAGCTTGGGCTCGGGAGAGATTGGGCTTGGGCCAGCTTGGGTTCGAGAGAGCTTGGGCTCGGGCAAGATTGGTCTCGTGTAAGCGTGGGCTCGAGAGAGCTTTAAATTTCATATTAATTGCGCTTTCAATGCTTCCAAAAATACCGCCCCACATGTACTAAATCAATAGACAACTTAAAGGCTGGTAATAAAGACGCCATTGGAGCCTCTCAGAGCCGACGAGGTTTCACCCAAAAAACACTAAGGGCATGTTCTTTTGACATTTTTGGGTTATGTAATTTGAGTGTAGATTTTGAGTTGAGTTTGAGTGATAACTTGAGTTAAAGTTGTAACTTGAGTTTGTGTTTGGTTGTGTACATTTTGAGTTATGGTTTGAGATAAGAATCTTTTTGAGTTTGTGTTTGAGTGACTCAAAACTTGAATTTATATTTAGATAGTATTTTAATAAAAACTCAATGCTGATGAAAAATTTTAATATGGTATATGGGTCTAGTTTTATTCGTTTTTTCGTTGTCAACGCATAGAAAAAAAATCATCTCAATCAAAATTAAAACGAAAAAGTTATAGCATTTTTAAGAATAGAAAAAATATTATTCATTAACTTGAGTTCGAGTTTCTAAACTTGAGTTGAAGGGAAAACTTGAATTCGAGTTTTAGTTCCAAACTCGAGTTCAAACTTAAAATAACATGAATTCAAATAAAGTTGTAACTCGAGTTGTTTTTTTTGAGTTTTTTACTCAAAAACATATTTGCCGAACAGGCCCTAAATATTCTGCCAAACTTCGTCAACAGCCTCACAGCAGAGCAATGCATGTTCAGTAGTCTCAGCAGCTTGGTTGCATCCAGTGCACACCGAAGAAGTGCCTACGTACGCTCCTTTTAGAAGGATTGTTGAAGGTGGCAATAATGTCATGGTAAGCCCGCCACATGAGAATCTTACCTTGTTAGGGACATTCAAGTTCCATAATCCATTATTCCACCAGCAATTGCGAGTGCATTATCTCTAGAAGAATTCACCACCCGATCGAGCTGCACTTTATACTGTTCTTTAGCCCGAACGAACAGTGTATTTACCCTTCGATTCAAAGTGCCAAGCGAGGCGGTCTGGACCCTTAGATCTACCAACAGGAATGGACAAAACTAAGGGTGCGTTTAGTATTAATTTTTGCTTGTTTTTGAAAACGTTTTTGCATATTTTTTGAGGCACGAAAATGAAAATGGTCTTTAAACCGTGTTTGTTTAGCAAATGTTTTGTATACGAAAACGAATACAGAAAACAGTGATAATGGTTTTTTTGTTGTTGAAGAAATTAGAAAACGGTTGAAAGTTGATTTTCCTTTTCTGTTTTCATTTTTTAGTACTTATCAGTATATTATAATATATTAATTAATATACACGATTTCACTTTTTTATTATACTCAAAACAATCTCTTAAAAAATCAACCAATCGCAATTTCAGAATCAGTCGCAGAATGATTCTCAAAACAATCTCATTTTTATTCTTTATTGAAAACAAAATCATTTTGAAAATCAATTCTAAACGCACCATAAATCTCTGTCAATAGACTAGAGCACATCCAGAAGCTTGCCACGATCCCACGTACCACCATGTTGATGGAGAAGATCAGTAACAGTTAGTTAGGTGCCGAACAGTTTCTGTACTAGAAGTGAACACATGAAGAAGAGTGCGGACTTGGGATCCGAGGATCAGTAAAGACATTGATGCTTAAAAATGTTATCTCTAATGCCCTTACATTACAAGTCCTGAAAAATTAGAACCTCTTGCATTATTTGGAGTAGACTTTTGCACAAAAAGAAAAAAAAAAAAATCTGTTGCAAAGACACCTTGATTAATGATAACTGTATTAATATTTTGACGGACGTTAATTAGTGGCATGATTATTGCTCTCTAGAAGTAACTATGTATATATCTCTGTTTTAAGAATCTAATTTTAAAAACGGCCTTCTTTTTTCTGGTATTATGATTTTGTTTTGTTTTGTTTTTTCCCCTTCTAATTAGTGGTTTGTGGTTTTGATTTGGATATTGATTATTGTTATAAAGTTGTGAATCAGTATGATAACGACTATAGTTGCATATTGAACACAAAATCCCACCTTTTTAAATTTGGTCTTGTTTCATTAATCATCATAAAGTTGCAATTTTTATGTTCTTGATTATATCACCGGCGAATTTACTTTTCCTACACATTTTCTAAAAAACCACCGATTTATAAGTTTAAAACTTAAATTAACACGTACTCAAAAAAAAAAAAAAAAAAAAAAAAAAAAAAAAAAAAAAAAACCTACAAGACAAAACTATACTTTCAGCGTATCATCAACAGTTTCCAAACAATATTAGCTTAGCTAAATATAAATTAAAATTAGCTTACATGTAAGTAGTAATTAACAGTAATAAACAAATTCAAAGCAAAAAAAATTAACAAATGACAAACAACATTGATATGGACATGAACTATGAAAAAATGGGACTCAAGTTTTGATCATTCATGTGATCAGTTAATTAAATGCAGTGCAGACCCTGCGAATTTCACCCTGAGTTCCACTTTTGACTCCAATATTGCTCATCTTCACCATGGACTTGGCAAACTCCACGTTGAAGTTTAGGCTCTGCGCTCCTCTCACTCGCAAGAAGCGTTCGGCGATCGTTCTTGTGGAGGGATCAGTCCACAACAACTGATCAGACTGGAGGACTCCTCGGCCATTTCTCAAGTTTGTAAAGAAAGTGGTGTCAAAGCGGCCTGCACTTCCGGTGTCAAGATCGACCAGCCTCGCCCCGTCCCCGTTCTGGGGGCAGAGGGCTCGAAGTGTCGGAACGAAAGAAGGGTTGATGGTCGGATCTGCGCCGCTTGCAGTAGTAGTACTGAAGTTGTAGAGTCTGTTACTGAAGAACCGGCATGCAGTGGTACCAATAGTGTGTGCACCTGTGGTGAGAAAGTGATCAGTATATATATAATAAGCAAAATTTAATGGATACTTTTATACATCTTGAGTTATTTAGGCATACTTCATTTTACTAAATCGAGTTTTCAGTTTTAAGTTGCTACAGTTAAAAAGTTCTCAGAAAATGTCACACCTAACTTTTTTTACAACAGTTAAAAACTTTTAAAAAATGTCATATCTCAGCTTAAATTGAAAACTCTTCGAAGCGAACGGGGCCTTAGAAGTTTATCCATAAAACAAACTTTGCATATTATAGGGATTTTGTGTATAATGCTATAACAATAAAAAAAAAATCCATATTGTTAGTACATGTGTAATGGGGATTAATTTGAATCTTTTTTGTTATTCTAATGCAATTTTTTTCTTATTATATTACCCTTGAATAAGAATGACAAGTGCTAAATCATTACCAACTAGGGTGACGAGGTCTTGAGTGTTGAGACCCTTTATTGAAAACTTCTGTTCTTGCGCCTCAATGGATTCAGTAGGAGTAGGCAAACTGGAAACATCAGCTGCCAATGAAACTCTTCCATCTCTTCTTCCTGTAGGAACTTGCCAACTAAATCCTTTGGTCTGCAAAACATAGATTTATAGTACATTACGTGAGTAAAAATTCTTAAAAAAAAAAAAAAAATTCTTTTCAAGATAATTATGGTATAAGAGCAAGGTATATCAATTTTACCAAAACAACAGCATCACGAGCAGCAAGAGCTAGAATATCAGCGCAGGAAACGACACCAGGGCAGGCGGACTCGAGCTGTGTTTTAGCTGCGTCGATGGCGGCGTAGCCCGGAATGCCGCTGTTCGGGACGGTGCTCTTCTCGGTGTTTGGGCCGTCGATGAGGACGGAGCCGTCGCAGCCTTGGACGAAGCAGTCGTGGAAATGCATTCTCAGAATGCCGGGAGCTATGGCTGGATTGGATCGGAAATGAGACTCAACTGTTGACCTAACAATGACTTCAGCTCTAGGGCACGTTCTTGAATAGAACCCCACACGCGTTCCTTGGCCATGCACAAAGGTATTGGCAAGACCAAGCAACAAAAACATTAATACACAGACTGATGTTTTGAGGAAACAACAGGGACCTTCCATTGATGAACAATATAAATCTATCTGTTTGTGGTTCGAAAAATAATGAACAAAGATTCTTAGATTTGGGGAAAGACAAGAGTATGATCTTTGCTTGTTTTGAGTTGGGATGAGTTGAATAAAACTTCGATGCATGGAGAAGAATTTATAGGACGTGAAAGTCAAAGACGCAGAGAAAAAGAAAGTAGAAAGTAAGAAGAGCCGGCTTTAGGATAAGAGGAAAATTAATGTCTAAAGGATAAAACACGGAATTGAAATCTCAGTGGAATATATATATATATATATATATATATAGAGAATATTGTATATGGCTGGGGTATAGCTTGCTTTAATCATGTCATGGGAGGAGATTAACTGTAATCAACTGAGATATGCAACTTGCCTTGGCCTCTATATTGGGTGTGAGAAACTGTCAATATGTCATTTTCAATCTTATTTTATCTACATTATTTTATAAGTAAATAATGCTGGATGTACTAACTTAACACGAATCCTAATTTTTTCACCAACTAGAGTTAGTGGCGTGTATGTTACCATGTTTTTATATTGGTAGGTGTTTAAGATTATCACGTTAATTATTAATAAGATTGTATTTAAAGTAAAGATGATAGTTACCTATGAATAATTAATATCAAGTGTTTGGGATTTAAGTTGGTGTACGTATCACCACTCATTATAAATAATTGAACTATATGACTTGTGCTCAAAGCTATTATAATTTGGCCAGATTGTTACATAGATAATTTTATTTATAATTCAAACCTTTTTTTTAATAATATGCTTTTTTCTCATAGATTTTCATTTCCTTTCAAACTTATAAAATAAACGTATCACCAACTCAATTCAATATCATTTCTAAAATGATTTATTCTTCACCGCTACTAGAATTAAAGGTGGATACTGACTTTGCGCTCCTAAAACAGCTAATAAACTTGTTATTATTCCAGCGGGGATTAGCGATAAATTCATTTTAAATAGTTATGCACAATAACAAATAAAAAGAGATTTTTTTCAACAACTACAAAAACAAAAGTCAAGAAAGTGTAGTATTAGCCGGACCTAAAAAAAATATAATAGTACCTTAAAAGTTCCCAGCATTTATGTTTAAATAAGGACTGCTTGGTGTATTGTGAATTCCCTTAATCTTATGGCAAACGGCTATACGATTGTACGTATAATGTTTAACAATAGCTATGTTTAGACAAAAAAGTTTTTTTTTTTTTTTTTAAAAGATCAGACAGCAAGGACTCTAATAAGAAAATAATTCAAAGGTTTTTTTTTTCTTTTAAGGAAATTGTCCAATTTTGTTTTTGAAAAGGGCAAAAGAAAAGGAAAATCTAATGAAGAAAGAAAAAATGATGATTTTTCTTCACGCGCAAAAGTAGTTCAGGGCTTCTGCCAAATCATGCAAATTGCAATCCAGCTTGGGCATTGCATTAATTTCATCACGCGGTCTATATGTCCAATACATGCCACTAATTTTTTGTTACAATATTATACAACTTTGACAGTTTCTTCTTGTTTACGTTGGCCGTTTTGGCTTACTTTCCACATCTGCATTGATTAAAGATCGCTTCTCTGTGGGTGATCAATACAACAAATTGTCTGCTCGTAAGATTGGTCTAATGGAAGTTATTGGGAAGATCAATCCAATTGCCCTATCGACTTAAACTGCTGAGTCGTATTCATACTCATGTGTTCAATGTGAAGCATTTGATTCTTTAAAAAAGGCATTCTACTTCTGATGAGGATACAGTTGACTTTTCGAGGGTGAATTTTCTCCACCGTGAAGAGGACGATGTGGTGCAGAAGGCTCTAATATTTATGGCGGGTTAGGATCACCCTAAAGTCAAATAAGATAATTTTTCGGTTTTCATAGTCTTTTGGCGGTGTTAGATTTAGTCGAAAACAATGTGTGTGCGCATGAGTGTGCTTTCTTTATTTTTTTTTTTTCAAGACTCGTTACTACGCCATGACTTATGACATTTTTCAGTTAAACTCCATCGCTTAGGCCTTCAAAAGAGCATTTTTTTTTCTTTTTTAGTAATTTTTGTTTCTTTTTTAGTAATTTTTGTTTTTGTTATAATTTGACCTTGAAATTTTAGTATTCCAATTCCAATTGCGTTTCCTTATTCTTTGTCTCTAATAGTTTCAATATTTGTTTCCTGTTCAATATTGATTTTTTTTTTTTTTTACTATTTTAAAGATTCAAGGTAAAAATAAAAAAAAAAAAAAGGTAAAAAAGGAGCAAAATGAAGAACTAAATAAGATTTAGAACAAAAAGAATTATAATGAAAAAAATAAAATTTGAGGATTAAATAATAAAAAGATTAAAAAGGGACTAAAATAAAGAAATGAACAAGTTTTAAGGCAAAAAAAAAAACACGGAAAAAAATAAAGTCTCAGTGCAAAAATAAAAAAGGGTAAAAAATGACCAAAATGAAAAAATAAATAAGTTTTAGGGTAAAATGGACTAAAACAAAAAAGATAAAGTTTCAGGACAAAAATAAAAAGAAAAACAAAACGAAAAAATAATTAAGTTTTCAGGCAAAGGAATCAAAACGGAAAAAATAAAATTTGAGGACTAAAATAATAAAAGGATAAAAAAGGATGAAAATGAAGAAATAAATAAGTTACAGGACAAAAAGTACTGAAATGGAAAAAAATAATAATGTTTCAATGCAAATATTCCATAATATTTTTAGTGAAAAACTGGCAAATTTTTAATCTTTAATTTAGTGACTCTTCAGCCGATAAAAAAGTATAGAAACACATACACGAGATATGCCCTTCTAAAAAGAACTAATACAGACGGATACCTAAATTCAAATGTGATTTTACTTCAAAAAGAAGTCTACGAAGATCTTTCATCATTAATATGGCAATTAATAAACTCAGTCCAACTATAACTATAATTAATCTGCTATAAATACCCTACAAGGGTCCTTATTAGATAAGGTTCTTTTCAGGTCCTTATTGCGTTCGTTTTTCAATATTTTGCCGTTTCTTTGATGTTTCCCTTTCCGAATCTGTCGTTTTTCTATGCAATTGTTGGCCTTCTTTGTTTTTAAAAAATTAAAATACCATTTTAATATTATCAAAAATATATAAAAAGCATATTTCACTATGTATTCTTTTTAAAAGTTATAAAAATTATATAACAATTTTGAAAAACAAAAAAACAAAAATAAGTTTACCAAACATGTTTTCAAAAAAAAAATTTCACTTTTTTGTTTCCTGATAACAAACGCACCCATAGGTAATCAGTCATCTCAAATCATTAATAAAATGAAGCATCCACATACTCATATATGGTTAAAACATAAGAGTGTAATGCTCTTGTGATGGTGATTTCTACTCCATGATTCGACAAGTACTCTAGCAAGCTAAAGAGTAAGGTCCCGTTCATTTTACCGATTTGAGTTTGGAATTCGAGTTTTACTACAGTAAAAAACTGTCAGAAACAGTAACTTTTAACTTTTTTGCTACAATAAAAAGCTCTCACATAAAGTCACATCTTAACTCGAATTAAAAACTCATATCAGCGAACTAAACGGACCAAGTATTTCTAGGCCATTCGATATGTTAATTAAAGAGCATAATAAATATACTTATATAAAAAATGAGCATAACAAATAGCATTCATACCACTCTTGACATAACAATCTGTTAAAGTACTGTAGATTAATTATTAAATCATGTAAAGTTGTCCTCCAAAACTCCAAAATAATAAAACAACAATTCATCTAGATCTTTCTTAAGATTTTTAGGCCTAAACTATCCTCATAAAGTCAAAATAAATCATTGAAGGTAAGAAGGAGCTTAATTAACAAATTACAAGAACATCTTACAACGAAAACAAAAACTTTTTCTTCTGACAGAAACCGGTTGACGGGACCAATGACGTATTTTCAGGTCAAGAGAATTTGTTCTTTAAGCGAACTTCGAAAAATCATAACTAATTATAAAAGCGACTAATTTGTGCAAGTCAAAAAGCAAATGAAAACTTATGATGTTTAATTTGTGAATAATATATATGTATATATATCTAATATTTATATATATTACAATCCTACAACAAAGGATTTTCTAAATTCAATGGAAAAAACTCTTAGAGTTTTGTAGCCCCACGTAAATAGAAATAATTAAAAGTGTTTTATTAGTGTGCCAAATTTATTATCTGATGATAAATATTGATTTTTGTGTGTAAAATGTGATTTCACATTATTTGGGTCAATTAGAAAATTTTTAGAAATTGTCAAATAACCCAATTTGCATTTTCAAATACGTAAATCATGTAAATATTACCAGATTTTAATTAATTTTGCGCACAAATATTACACAATTAGTTTAATAAATCCACTAACATACCTTTTAATTTGTATAGCGTTACAAGTAATTTTTTAAGAAAATCCGTCAATCTCATTCGATTTTATAAGTTCATGATTTGAACACCAAGTTTGCATTAAATCTCGGCAACATATTCAGAAAATTTCTATAAAGAATAAGAACGAAGGAAAAATTCATAATACCTCGATATCATTCTTCCACAAGCTATAAAAGTCTTTCTCTCTCTTTGATTTCTCATGTAGAATTTTAAAATTAATCACAAGTGAACAATTAATAACCCCAACCCAAAAAAAAAGTTAAGCACATTGCAACAGTTATTATATATGTTAAGAGGGTAAAGGGTGAAGATAAAAAATTTAGGTGTCAATTTTCAAAACCCGAAAAACTTGGTTGACAAAAAATGCTAATAACCTTTAATCATATGCCAAGTCGTTTAAGAGAAATATATGACTGGAACAAGTAACTTATTCATTAATGAACCATTGATTTTCACGAAGTACATACATGAGTACTAAAAAAATACATTTTATCTGGATTAGAAACGCTAGGAGCAATTTTCTTTTCAATAAATTTTAAAACTTTTTGAGATCCTCCTTTCTCGAGCAAAAGTTTTGATCCCTTATTGGATTATTAATCAGCCAAAAGATTAGTCTTGTTTATTAGCCAATTAATTCATATAAGTTGAAATTGCTTTTCCTTTAGCTAACGGCTGAGCAGACTTTACGTATTTCACCCTGATTTCCGGTCTTGACTTCAGTATTAC